ACAGGTGGAAGACAAAGTATATATTTTTAATTCAGAGAAAATAGCTGAATTACAACAGAAAGATAAAAAAAATTAAAACAGTTGTGTCAAAAGGCACACACACGAGAAGAATCTGAATGTATCATAATGATATATCTTAAAAATTAAGTCTTCATGAGGAATTGGAGACCATCACACATTCAGGCAGATGTGAATTTGGCAGAAGTCCATCAAGTATTCCTGGCGGGTTATAGGAAGGTGGTGTTGTGGGTAACACATGATATACCAGCAGGAGGTCATTTGGGGTAAGGAAAACTCCAGGGAAAATAGAAAAACATTTTTACTGGCCTGGACTGCATAAGATGTGGTTGAATTTTGCCAGATATGTCTCGTGTCAGGTAATTGGAAAAACTCAGGCAGTGATAAAACCAGCACACTTAATTCCTGTTTCCACATTTGAGGAACTTTTACAAGAGTCTCACTTGATTGAGTAGGACCCCTACTTGAAGTAAAAAGTGAGAATCTGTATTTGTTGACCATAATGGATGTATCTACAACATTTCCAGAGGCCATTCCATCATGCAGCATCATGGCTAAAAGGATTGTAGATGAGTTATTCAAATTTCTTACTACATATAGACTACCCACAGAAATACAATCAGATCAAGGGTCAAATTTTACATCAATGTTATTCAAGGGAGTTATGGATAGCTTAGGAATAAACAGTTCAAATCTATTGTATACCATCCAGAATCACAGGGAGCATTAGAACAGCGGCATCAAACTTGAAAGACCATGTTGAGGCTTTACAGTCAAGACTATCCAGAGGATTGGGATAAAGGAATTCCATTCGTACGTTTTGCAATTAGGGATGCACCTAATGAATCAACTAAGTTCAGTGTGTTGTACAAGGTGAGAGGACCGCTAAAATTAATTAAGGAGAAATTGGTGAATCAGAGTTCAGAGACCACATAGTTGGATCATGTGTCAAATTTTAAGGAAAGATTAAATAGAGCAGATGAGTTGGTTAGACAGCATTGAAATGTGGCACACCATGCGATGAAACAGGAAACAACCAATGAATCCAAAATTCATTGTTTGCCAGTTGTGATAAAGTGTTAGTATTACTACCAGTGATAGGTGGACATTTATAGTCAAAGTTTAGTGGGCCTTATCAAATCGAATGGATATTGAGTGAGGTGAATTATTTGATAAGAATGCCAGAGAGAAAGAAATCTTAGTGTGTGGTTCAAAAGGTATTTTGATGTGGGAGGAAAGCAAAAGGAGAATGTGTTATCGGTTACAACACCAAGTGAAGAACCAAGTTCAGATGGTTCAAATTGGACATTCCTCAAATTAAATTGGGCAATGAGGAAGTTCTCAAAAATTTGGATAAATTATTGAGTTAACTTCCAGAGGAAAATTGAAATGACCTGAAAGAGAGAATACAATCGCACGGAGAGATATGTGGGAACAAGCTGAGAAGTACTAATCTGATTATGCATGATGTAGATGTAGGAAATGGCGTTCCAATTGAGCAACATCCTTATAGTCTTAATTCTTAAGCTGACACAGGTTCAAAAAGAGGTTGAACACATGCTCAAAGACAATATAATTGAAATGATTTGCAGCATAGTAATAGTAATAAAACTAGATGACTATGTGTGGATTATTGCAAAGTCAATGTCGGTACAAAATCTGATTCATATCCTATTGCACATTTGGAAGACTGTATTGACAAGGCTCAGTAAGCAACTTCTATTTCAAAGTTGGACTTATTCAGAGGATACTAGCAAGTACCTTTATTTAAAACAGCGAAGGAAATTTCAGCTTTCGTGACACTGAATGGACTGTACCAGTTTAAAGTCATGCCATTTGGTATGAAAAATGCACCACGCACATTTCAAATAATGTCATTTCAGTATTATCTAATTGTGCCGTGTACATTGACAATGTGGTGATATTTAGTCACACATGGAAGGAACATTTGGAGCATCCATTGGACTTATTCGATTGATTTCAGGAGGCAGTCTTGTTGATAAAGCTGGCTAAGGGCCAAATCCCCAAGTCAGGTTCCTAAGCCATGTTATTGGATGTGGACAAATGGCCCCATGGGATGTGAAAACATCATTGACAAAGAGGGATGTACTACAATTCCTGGGACTGAGTGGTTTTATTGGAAGTCTGCACTGAATATTAGCAGCATGCTTTCTCCACTGACTGACTGACTTACTGAAGAAGTGCAGAAAATTTCAGTGGACGGAGGAATGTCAGAAGGCATTTGACAGCCTGAAAGCTGTGTTAACTACTGCCCCAGTTTTAGCCACACCTAATTAGGCAAAGCCATTCAAAGAGGCTGTTGATGTGAGTGATGTGGGTGTCGGTGTTGTAATTTTCCAAGAAGATAGAAAGACCTATTTGGGTATTTTTCCAGCAAATTGAATAATCATCAGCAAAAATATTCCATAATTGATAAAGAGACCTTGTGAAAGGAGTTGGTGTTGCAACATTTCACTATTTTTATATTGCCAGTTATATTGCATGAGACAGTTGTATATACAGATCATATCCTTAAATGCTTCCAAAAACTTTGAGTTTAAAAATACCAGGCTGTGTAGATGGAGCTTATTATTGCAGCCATTCAATTTGAAAATAATACATGTGGCTGGATGAGAGATAGCAATTGCTGACATGTTGTTGCAACTTTGATGAATGAAGATGGACGTGTTTGGTCGTGGAAAAAATAGGATTGAAATGGATTGTATTAGTGAATGTTTGCATGCTTAGAGCAAATGTAATGTATGTATATTGTAGTGTATGAATAGCATAACATGAAGGTTTTTAAAAATGAAACCATCTTTTTATATTGATGGTTCAAATTTTATAAGGGGGGAGGTGTGACGATGCTATGGCTTTACAAAATGTATTTTGACGTGGTGGGTTTTTTTTTAATGAAGAAAGTTTGAGACAAAGGCGCAAAGCAGTCTGCTCAAAGCCAATGAAGTCAACAGCTTGTGAGGTCTTGGGATTTTTTTTTAAAGTTGGAACAATAGAATCAACCTGAATGGGTGGGGTCAAGCTCCTAGAGAACCAGGATTTTTAGTTTAGCTTTCTGCAGTTACCAGGGTATTAAGCTAGATGTGGAAGCTCTTACTCCTTTCTCCGTTACAGCTAAAAGCTAGGGATCTGGTCCTGTTGCAAGAATTGCGTGTGAAGTCCAGGACAGTTAGTCCACATGGAAAGGTATTTGATGTCAAATTATCTTCTGAGGATGAATCAGGATACACTATGGCTACAGTACTCTAGATGTACATTGGCAATTTAGAAGCCTGATAATCCAGAGAACAGAATTTATAAGTTACTATTCTGACAGTTGGAAGGTTGGCTTTTCAATCAATAGATTGATAACAATCCTTCTCTCCCTCCTTCTTTATTGCTGGACTTTAAGACCTCTCAACGACACTGATCTTTGATTGCTGGGAGCTATCTCCAACAGTTCTGGCTATAGTGTTCTTCTGCAGGCTGCAATCCAGAAATACTTAGGTATACATTGCAGGAAACGAATATAGAGCGTGTCTCATCGCTTTTTTAAAAAAAGCTGAGGTGTCCAGATAGATGTCTTTAAAACTATGAAAGTTTTCGCTCAGAATCAATACAGGAGAATACATCACCTTGTGAGAAAGAGCCTACCAGAGGACATCAACATAAGGTAATCACTAAGAAATCCAATAGGGAATTCAGAAGAATTTTCCTCGTCCAAAGAGTCGTCGTCGTCGTCATCATCGGCGAGAATGACTCTCTCTCACTCTTAGGTGGCTGTAAAGACCAACGCAGCTACTGCAGGTTCTGTTACATTTGGGGCAGGTGGTGGTCACAGGAAGCGGTGGCTGGGGCACTGGTATGGCGGCATGTTCTTTTCGCTGTTTTCACCTGGCTTACGATTTTTTTCCAATGACCAGTCTCAAGGTTCTTGATGCCTTCCTGGATATTCCTCCCCGGTCTTGGGCCAGTGATTCCCAGATGTCTGTGGGAATGCCACACTTCACTAGTGGGGCCTTGAGCCAAAGAGTACTAAGAATCTGGAACCCACGACTGCAGGGAGAGGATGAAGCAAATAGTATCGACATATTTAAGACAAACGTGAAGGCAAAATGAATAAAGCACTACAATGATAGATTTAGATGATGGCAGACATTTTCAGTGGGTATAAATGCTAGCATGGAATGGTTAGGCACACTGCAAGCTTTATCGATTCTTCAGGGACAGCTAATTTTGCAGGCCGTTACCCATGTGACATTCCATGTTGATATCACAGTAAAGTCACACAGCAGCCTGTGATGCTGTCTCTCCTGGGCGCTAGTATAGGTTGAAAGTGCTGCTTGAGGTAGGAATCTAGGAACATTGGAATTAGCAGTGAGAGCGGGAATTCAGCCCTTGAAGCCCCCTCCAACATTTAACATGATCATGGCTGATCTTATCCTGGTCTCAATTCCACTCTCCTGCCTGCTCCCCGTAGCCTTTTATCCTGCTTTCCATCAGAAACAAAGCTATATTGTTTCTTGAATCTGTTGATTGATTCTGCCTCCACTACTGAGACAATGAGTTCTACAGATTCACAACCCTCTGAGAGAAGTAGTTTCTCCTCGTTTCAGTTCTCCGTCCTATCACTCTATGCCCTCTTGTTCAAGACTATCCCACAAGGGGGAACATCTACAACATCCACCTGATCAATCCCCTTTAGCATTTGTGAAAGATGTTGTATAACTTATTCTGTTTCTTTATGTAATGAGGTGATCAATTTTTAAGAACGATGTATGAAATTTGCAGCAACATAGATTGGCATTATCTATTTAACAATTCAAAACAAAAAGAATTTTGCCAGAAGCACTGCTCATTAAAATTTATTTAAGTTAAAACAAAAATATAGGTGCAAATCCAAGAAACAAGATGATTTTGTCAATATCAATTTGATGTTTCAAATTCTTCTTTGAAGTGTACCAATTTTATTTCAATTGACACAATTACAATGGTAGCAGAGAATTCCTTTGACTAAATAATCCCATTATTGGTTGCTTCTGTTTCTTTTTCCTTTTATCTTCATTAGTCTTTTCTTGTTTATCTAAGCAGGCCATGATAAACAACTTGAATTCATTGTACGTAAGGTTCTGGTTTAAATAAATAAACAATGTCAAATGAATTTGACAAAATAAGATTTTTCTCTAATTTTATTTTCCTCTTTCTAATCTTAATGATTTTCAGATGGAAGCAAAATTGACCATGATGAAATGAGCCCATACTTCTGGAACTAATGATTTATTATTATTCTCCTTTTTAAAACTTTTTTTTTGTCATTTTCTACTCCTGTCACCTTTCTCGGCTCAATGCACCTTCATTTTAAGAGGAAAGAGGACAAAAAAATTGAACTTCTAGAATTTTGAAGCATGTTAAGTGCTTCCAACTTATTTGGGTATCATGTGGGTAATATTTCAAGCTACTGGTCAACATGTGCCTGACTTTCGAACACCTCTCTTAGACAGTTGTTAGCTATCACAAACTAAATGTGACTGTTGCTTACAGTGGTTAAGTACCAAGGTTATTTGGGAATGTTTTCTTCCCAGGATAAACAGACTCTGAGATTTGTCTTCACACATACCAACCTTATTGATAAATATTGAAACAAATTTGAAATATGATCTGGAACAGCAGGAAATGAAGCAAATGACTTAACTGTTAGCTTACTAAGCCTTCAACTCAAGTTTCCATAGTCTTCCTAACGAACAAAGAAAAGAGGTAAGCATCCTTATAGTTACTTCTGTCTTGGGCAAAATCATTCACCAAAATGTGGTTATATTTCCAAAGTTTGCCAACAGTTTTTTATAGTCAAGCTTCATTACAATTCCACTGGCAAACTTCTCCTTCAGTACGGCTCACTAAATGGAGAGTACTGAAAATCCACCAGCTGTGTTGTGGAACCCAGCCAGTTTCTTCTTGAACTGAGAGGAGGCAAGAGAGATGGAGGGTTGGGTTAATTTAGGTTAGCCCAGCAGGAGCGTCAGTTCTCCTCCTGACCCCATACCCCCAAAAAGAAATTACAAGCTCTTTGGTAGTTTTTCTAAGTGGACTGTAACAATTTCTTTCAGGAATGTACTAATGACGATAAGGTGTGTAGTGCATGTTGGTACTTCAGACTCACACACAATATCATGTAAAGTTAGGAGTAAACTGTGGCGTAACGGTGATATCACTGGTTCATTCGTGTTTTGTTATCCTCATTGGAAAGATTGTACAGAACAGAATGAGAACCCTTTTGTATGTACTTATTGATTGTTTGTTTTTATGAATAAGTTATATTTTTGCAATGCAGAGAGGTGATATCAATGATAATGTTTGTCATATTCCAAAGGTTGCAGTTAATGTGATGAGGACACTAACTGAATTTAAATCCAATTAACTAACAGCAAAATCTGGAATTGAAAGCTGGTCTCGGTAATAATGGTGATAAAATATCATCGATTGTTGTAAAAATCTATCCGATTCATTAATATTCTTTAAGGAAGAGAATCTGCCATTGTTTTCTGGCCTGGCTTACATGTGCATCTAGTCCCACCATAATGTTGGGGACTCTAACTGTCCTCTGAAATGACTCTAACAAGTGACTCTGTTGTGCTAAAGAACAACAGAAAGGTTTAAGAAGGTGTTCAGTGAAACTTGTCTATGGCAGTTATAGATGGGCAACAAATGCTGGCTTTAGCAGTGCTGGCCACATCCCATGAGCAAATAAGGAGGGCTCTTGTGGTGCAGTGCTATTGTCCCTACCTCTGAACCAGGAGGCCTAGGTTCACATCCCACCTGCCCCAGAGGTACGTAAAAACATCTTTGAACAGGTTGATTCAAATATATTTCTTTTTTCAAAATAAGTTACATTGACCTAATTATGGTTGTTCTATTCATCTCCAGTAGGGGTTTGGAGCACCCATTTAATGGCTATTTTGAAATGGTGGAAGTAGGGAAGCTAGTGGAACATAGTGATCTGGGTTATTTAAAAATGCTGCCACAAATTTCACTTCCAGAAAAGAGAATTAACCTTAATATTATACATACGGCTTTTGTCTTCATTTGCTTCTAGCTCTAGACCTAACGAAAAGCTAATACTTGGAGGGTCCTCTTTTTCTTTCATTTTAACATTAAGGAGAGGATAAACTTATTTGGTTACTTACTGTGGTCATTTTAGTGGTTCATATGCACAGTAGATAAGTGGGAAAATATTGAGTGGAAATTTTACTCCAGCTGTATGCATGCATAATGTTTTCGATTTCACTGGATTAACCATTTTCTCAATGTGACTAACTTCTGTTACCTTAACAACTAGGCTACAGCCAAAAGGTTGCCATTCGCTAATCTGTTGAAATGATTTCTTTCCTCACAATATTACAACACAAAAATAGTAACATTATATTGATTTTAAATGAAGAGTGCTCTCAAAGCTCACAAGAAAGGTCACACATCTTGAAACATATCAGAAGCAGTGGTGACATTGACAAGTTAAATGCAATGCAGACAAAGAACCTGAGAAAATGGAGCAATGTCCTGACAAGAAACAGGTTAGATGCACGTATGGCTACAGTCATTATGGAGTTTGTACTGAATATTGGCCCCAATCCATGCGATTGGAAACAGTTCAAGGAAGGGAAGAATTAAAGGTGAACTGTGTGACACTAAGGGAAAAGTAGAATTTGGAAAGCCATTCCTTTTCTTCTGCTTTGCCCCATTACTTCACTTCCCCACAGACCTTCCACCAAAACCCCCTACCCCCCAAAATCAGCACCACCATCTCTGTGCTTGCATAAAATCTGTTCAATATCTACCTTTTCTCACTCTGCTGAAATGACATCACCTTGAGCCATTAACACTGTACATTTTGTACCCATGACAACAAGGTGCAGGGCTGGATGAACACAGCAGGCCAAGCAGCATC